AATGCTGAAGAAGAAAATCAGAAGACATCGGTGCCGGCAGCAGGTAGTAGCAGAGATCGAGTGTCATCAGTGGGGTCAATTGGGGGAAGCAGAGCTATGAGTTCCTCAGCAACGGTTGACATGAAAATTGACTGGCTGATAAAAACAGTGAAAGCAGTCAAGGATGAAATTGCGTGCAATAATGAAGTTAAGAAGATGATTAAGGAAGTAGTCGGTGCAGAAATGGATGGTTTGAAGCAGCCAGGTAGCAGGGAAACTGAAACCTGCAATTATAGCGTTATCGGAAACGCGGGTGACTGCTGAAATTAAAGACAGTGAACTGTATATGACGGGATATAGTGTAATTAGGTGCGATGCAGAGAATAGGATCACAGGAGGTGCCATACTATATGTAAGAGATGGTATAAAATATGACATAATAATGAATAACAAAATAGAATCAATCTGCTGGAGTGTAGCAATCGAAGTCAATGATAATATATATAAAGGAGTGATATTAGTGGTGTATCATTCACCGAGTGCGTCAGATGCGGAATTTATAAGACACATCGAGGATGTGTCGGAGGAGCTATCAATAAAAGGGGATTTTCTAATAATAGGAGACTTTAACATAGATGTCACGGTAAACTCGTTCTATAAAAAACAATTAATAGCAGGAATGTTAAGCCTAGGAATGAAACAATATGTTAATGAGCCAACGAGAGTAACAAAGGATAGCCAAACAATTATAGATCTTGTATTTGCGAATGTAAGCGTACGATTGCAGGTGGTACATGAACCAAAAATAACAGACCATGCATGGATAAAAATAGAATTAGGAATGGGCAATACGGAGAGTACACCTAGAGAATATAAGTCCAGGAATTATAGTTTAATAGATGAGCAAGTATTTGCAACAGTTTTGAAAAATTCTGCATGGCATTGGTCACATGAGGATGTAAATCAAAAAGCAAAGATACTTGTTGATAATATTGTAGGGACGTTGGATATATTAGCACCAAAAAGGATTGTTAAGATCCCGGATGTATGGGAGGGCAAAAGGTGGTTTACAGATGAAATAAAAAGGGCGGCGGACAAAAGGGATAACGCCTACACAGAAGCAAGGTACAAGGAAACGGATAATAGCTGGGAACAATTTAAGGTAGAGAGAAATGCTGTAGTTAAACTGATAAGACAAAAGAAAAAAGAATACTACGAGGATATGATAGACAGAAACAGGAGTGAACCCATAAAAATGTGGAAAACCTTGAAAAAACTAAGAGAATATAAATCCAGGAATTATAGTTTAATAGATGAGCAAGTATTTGCAACAGTTTTGAAAAATTCTGCATGGCATTGGTCACATGAGGATATAAATCAAAAAGCAACGATACTTGTTGATAATATTGTAGGGACGTTGAATATATTAGCACCAAAAAGGATTGTTAAGATCCCGGATGTATGGGAGGGCAAAAGGTGGTTTACAGATGAAATAAAAAGGGCGGCGGACAAAAGGGATAACGCCTACACAGAAGCAAGGTACAAGGAAACGGATAATAGCTGGGAACAATTTAAGGTAGAGAGAAATGCTGTAGTTAAACTGATAAGACAAAAGAAAAAAGAATACTACGAGGATATGATAGACAGAAACAGGAGTGAACCCATAAAAATGTGGAAAACCTTGAAAAAACTAATTCGAGGAGAGACAGTAGGAATAAGAGAAACTGGAAACATAGATTTTGAAATATTGGATGAGAAGACGAAAGGAAATATAGCGGATAAATTTAACATATTTTATGTTGAAAGTATTAATAAGATAGTAAGCTCAATAGCGAATGATTCATATGGAAGTCCACGTAGAAGAAGAATCCTGATTGGGGATAGTGTAGGGAATAAAAGAATCATTGAGAAATTTCAGGATGTCGGAATAGAGGAACTCGAGAAAATTGTCAAAGGACTCCCCAAAAAAAAGGGTACAGAAGAAGGAATATCAAGTGAAATACTAAAAATGGCATTCAGTGCAATAAAACAGAAATTTGTTGATATAATCAACGGATCCCTAAATGAGGGCTGTTGTCCTGATAGTTGAAAAAAGTCCACGATCATACCAATCCCAAAGATAGATAGAGCCATAAAAGCAAAGGATTTCCGGCCAATTAATATGTTGCCAATGTATGAGAAGATACTAGAGTTAGTAGTAAAAAGCCAAATTGAAAAATTTCTGGAATCAAATGAGGTCATAACAGAACACCAATCGGGTTTTAGAAAGCAATATTCGTGTGAAACAGCAATTCAAATCGTGGTTGACGAATGGAAATTAAAAATCAGCGAGGGGAAAATAGTGGGAGTAATCTTCATGGACTTGAAACGAGCGTTTGAGACTGTGGACAGAGGACTGTTACTGGAAAAACTAATGCAATATGGAATAAGGGGTAAAGTATGGGAATGGTTCAGATCGTATTTAAGCAACAGGACACAACAGGTTAGGTTCAATGAGGAATTTTCAAATATCATAGAAACAAAATACGGAGTACCACAGGGATCAGTGTTAAGGCCATTGTTGTTCGTTATATATATAAATGATATAGTCGACATATGTCCGGAACATTGTGCAATAAAGTTGTTTGCTGATGATACA